GAGAGAGAGAGAGAGAGAGAGAGAAACACAGAGAGTGAGGTAAAGATTGAAGTAGATACAGACAACTATAGACAGAGCAGAGAGGAAGTATTTAACACCCACAACCCGAACAAAGCACGACAGTTTTGAGCCTAAGCCTAAGACCTAAGACCACAGCTGATCACACGGACACGTCTGGGTGCCCCTCGAGGCCAGGCTTGGTCTGTCACACGGACGTCGGCCAGTCATTAATAATTCCCGCCAACTTTCCCGTCAGTCAACGAGACGACCAGTGGAGAACTCTGCACTCTGACTTCTCCGACAACTTCTGGATATTGGAATAAGTTGTAAATGAAGTCAAAATTTGTGAGATCCTGTCTCCTAGAATTGGTCGCTTTTAAGGACAAGCGGGCTAATCCAGATTTCGGGGGTTTCCAGAAATCTTTACCTACACCAAAAGTGGGGACTGCCCAACCTATAGGAGAAGTTTGGTTTCTTTGGTGTGCATATTTGTCTGGTCATAGAGAAAACTCTCTTTGTCTTTTAAAGAAAATGAACAAGGGGCAAAATCTTACCTTCGATTTTCTCAAAACAGCTTTTTTCGGGATAGCCCCCTTGTGCTTAAAAGCTTTTTTTTTTTATAGCTAGCGCTCACTTTTTGCCTTCTTTACAAATCAAACATTCTCCTACTGTCCACCTTTATGTATCTCCAAACTGGGCATTAAAAGAACACCTGCCACAACGTGGGCGATCCTTATCGTTTATCAGAATTACCAAAATCACCCATCAGAATTACCAAAATCACCCATTGGAATTTAAAAAATCACCCATTAGTAGACGATATTTCCCAGGTAGGCGAGCACTGGCGCTTATTAAAAAAACAAAAAACAACCCCAAACAAACAAAAAACATGAAAAAACAAACCACACTCACAAAACCAACAAACATCGATGACAAAACAGAAGTCCGGATTATCAAAGTTGCATCGGCCTGAGTGAAACACTTGCTGTATCTACCCAGCTCATCAAGACAATCCGGCCCCAGCTCCCAGCCACTTGATTTCCCGCGGGTGTTCACAGACCCTGGCTCTGTGTTGCTAGCAAAACCCTTCCAGGGACCTGAGCCGTCGGTACCATGTGGATTATTTATCTGTTTTGCTTGTCTGTCGGTTAACGCCCTGCTAGACCCATACAACTAGTGGGGAAGAAGGAGGAGCACTTGGCTTGATGGTCAGAGTAAAGACAGAAGGAAGGGAAAAAAGAAGAAAATCATGATGGGTCAAGATAGACCCGGAAAATAGATATAAAGAAAGAAAGGAAGAAAGAAAGAAGGAAGGAAAGAGCGAAAAAAAGAAAGAAAGGAGAATGTAAAGAAGAGAAAATGAGTGGCATACTTTAAGATGTACGAGGTAACTGTCTTGAGTACAGAAGAGTGTGTGTGTGTACGTGTGTGAGTGTGTGTGTGTGTGTGTGTGTGTGTGT